AAGATAAGGACAATGGCAGTAGAGATGAGGTAATCATATATACAGCATGTAGCAGAATAATTTATTGTTAATCAAAATCCAGAGTAAAGCAGTTAAACTGCATTGTCTAATCACAGAAGTGGTATTGTAAACATTTTCAGTCTAGTTACAAGCCCACAGTAAACTTGATACCAAAATCTGACAAGGTCATTTTTAGAAAAGAAAATTACAGACCTCTTCATGAGCACAAATGCAAAAATTCCAAACAGCATATTACCAAACCGAGTATCAGTGTTACGTAAAAAGAATAATACATCCATGACTAAGTGTGGTTTATTTTTGAGAATGCAGAAGTGTTTTTTTTTGTTTAAAAAGTGACATTGGTTGCCTGGAATTACTGGTTTGAAAGAAGATCTCTTGATTCTTAAAATTACTTCATTAAGTTCCATTCCTTTGGGTGCCTGCCAAACCATATGTTTCTATATTTATTCTTTACACAAATATTTAGGTCCCTGCTACGTTCTGCATCTGGCTGGGAGCCTCTGCATTAGTATTTGAATATAGATTGGTTTAAGCTGAGTCCTAAAAAAATGGAGGTGGATGAACGGGTACATAGCTAATGAATACTGGAGGCTTCATATGTGCAGCCACTGTGCTGGGGCTTTACGCATTATCTCATGTCACCCTCACAGTGACCATATTAGGTAGGCATCATTAGCTCCAGTTTATAGATGGGAAAACAGATTTAGCCATTAACTAACTTGCTCATGGTATCACAACTAATAAGTGACCAGAGCTTGGATTATACATGGTTCTCCCCAATCCAAAGCCCCTACTCTTTTCTGGTTTATTTCTCGGTCTTCCCCCAAGCAATGTGTTTTGAGAGGCAGATAGCATGTGTTTATTGTCCACTTTGAGCAGCTAGTTGTATAATAGAAACTTTCTTCAACCCTATTCAGTCTAGTAGTTGTCCTAATCAATCAAAAGTAAGTTATCCATACACACCTTTTATATTAATTTAAAATGTGTTTAATATGTATTCATGTGCCAATCTATTGATCCACTAAAGCTTTGTTTCCGACTTCGGGTTCACTGTTGGAGAAGCTTATCCTCCCTGTGTAAAGTAAACCTATGCTTCATCTTCCAAAATTTAAAGTTTGTGTCTTTAAAGCAAAGCAAAACTTTTAAAACCCTAGTAAAACAATTTGAATACAGACTCCTGTATTGTTATGTTTTTTCCCCACTCTTTTATGGTTGACTAAAGTTAAGCTTTATCAAGTATGTCCAAAGCCTTCAGCTTGTTTTTGTAGATTCAGTAACTCTTTGTATTCATTTGCTCGGTTTATATAATGTTTACTATATAACTGAACCTGTAGATAAAACGGTCATATGCAGGTTTGCAAACAGACACAACCAATGCTTATTAAGGATACAGCTCAGCTTATGACCGAGTGTCCTCGGAGTACTGCAGAGTCGCCTGGTAGCCACACATGTTTGGCATTCCACAGCCATCAAGTTTGTAAGTCCTGTTCTGACGCAAGACTGTCGCTTAATCCACCCATAGACAGTGGGCGTGGTTAGTAGGCATAGTTAAGAGAGCGTCTACTGTGCTGTGATGGTCACCATATTCGGCATTAGCCTTCTCTACCGGTCAGAGCCACAGAGTTCTTGGTGAACGCACCTTTTGTTTTGGAGCCCAGACTGTGTTAGCTTGGAGGAAAACAGGAGTCGTCATAACATTATATTTTCCTTAAGCTGAAATGCATGTGGTAGGGTTCTAGATTGTCCACATCGGTAACCCTTGGTCATCCCTCTTTAAAATGTGGTGCCTGTAACCGTTTACTCTGACTGAGGCAGCATATAGTAATATTATCACACATTAATTTTTAGGGTAGCCTAAAATTTAGTAAAATTTAATATCCTAATGTTGGCTATCAGATCATATTTTCCTTAAGCTGAAATGCATGTGGTAGGGTTCTAGATTGTCCACATCGGTAACCCTTGGTCATCCCTCTTTAAAATGTGGTGCCTGTAACCGTTTACTCTGACTGAGGCAGCATATAGTAGTATTATCACACATTAATTTTTAGAGTAGCCTAAAATTTAGTAAAATTTAATATCCTAATGTTGGCTATTCAAAATTGTTTAATTCAAACTCTAGTCTCTCTCACATGCCTTCCCTGATTTCACATTATTCTCGTGCTGGATGAACTGGTCCCTCTGTTGGCCCATAACTTTTCTTTATAACCAGTAAAGCTAATTGCAGCATATTATAGTTACTTATCTTTTCCCGTGAGGTGTGTTGAGAGCTATATATGTCTGTCTGTCTGTCTGTCTGTCTGTCCCTCTCTCCCTCCCCACTCCCCACCTACCTACCTACCTGTCTGTGTATACTGGTTATATAAGTTGGCTAGGGCTGCCATAATGAAATATCACAGACTGGGTGGCTGAAACAACTGAAATTTAATTTCTCACAATTCTGGAGGCCAGAAGTTGAAGATCAAATGGTTGGCAGGTTTGGTTTCTTCTGAGGCCTCTCTCCTTGGCCCACAGATGTCTGCCTTCCCACTGTGTTTTCACTTGGTCATCCATTGCCCACAGCTCCTCATTTTTGTCCTTTTGGATATGGTAAGACTTAATTCGATGTTCTGCTGAAATTTTCATCTTTAGTCATTTAGTTTTACAATGCCACGCCCAATTATTGGAAGCTATGGGATGGGAATTGATGGTATAATGAGGAAGCCTGAGGTTCAGTGTTAGGGGCTTGGCTCTCTCATTTCTATGTATGTTCCAGTGCGGGGGGCCCTCTCCTTTGGTGTTTTACGTGTATGGGAAGAATTAGGACCCTGAAGACATGTGGAACCACCTAAACAGTACTCGACTTGGAATATTTTCATAGGGCAGTAGCTTGCAGACTTCTAGAAACCTAGATCCTTTTTTGTAGAGATTCTGATTTGATAACTCTAAGTGAAATCCAAGAATTGTCTTTTCTTTTCTTTTTTCTTTAGCCAGGCATGCCAGGTGATTCTGGTTCTGGGAGCTCCCTTATTATACATCAAGAAATTCATTCTAGAGAGATCCACATAGATGCTGACTCAGGTGCCTCACCCGATCTTGCCTTCGCTGACTATACAATGTGATCGTAACCTCACAGGCGAAGGGGAGACTTCCCTTCACTGTTGCTATTTCTCCAGCAGGTTGTCAGCCCTCAGAAGAATGGCAGGAAGGTGACTACTGCTCCAGGATATAAAGTAGGGAAAAAAAAGTCTCTGGCACCCATGTTTGCTGAGAAATTAATATCACCACACAGGAAGGGAGCCACATGGGCCAAGTTGCCAAAAGACAGGAGTGCCAAGCTAGGGGACCATGAGAAGAGAAATGAGAACCGTGAGGAGGATGAAGTTAAGACCCGTGAGTTGGACCCGGATGAGGAAGGTAAAAAATCCTCTTCTGGGGATGTTCCTGGCTGGTGGCTGAAAGGTATCAAGGGTCAGCCCTGAACGCCTCTCCATGTGACTCTCGAAGGGGTTCTGCGAAAATGCCATCCTTCAGAAAGCTGCCTTTGAGTCCTTGGCTGGTTCTTTGGGCTTTTCGTTGATGAGGCATCTCAGTGGACATTTGACCTCTGCTCTCCAGTTTTCTTTTGGAAAATTACACATCGATTGTTTCTATCTTTGCACTTACGAGCCAAGCAGGTTCGTTGTGCCCCAAACTTAATTCTCAGTGATTTTTGTTTGTTTGTTTGCTTTGGCAGAATCTCTGTAACATTTTAAATGGTATTGCTTCCAAAGCAGTAATTCTTAACCATTTCCATTAAAATATCATGGAAGTACATTTTAAATTATTTAAATTAAATAAAAGGTTTAAATAGCATATTTTTTCTTCAATTTGTATGTATAGCTGGATTTTTGAGCAGTTTCTCTGAAAGAACAGCTTTTTGTTCTATTCTTAACAAATAGAATCTCAGCTTAGAGTTCACTTCCCAGATCAGAAAAATTTTCCCTTCCCACAGACTAGGTTAAGTGTCCTTTACTAGACGTTCTCATTTCATCCTTTACTTTTCCTTCCTGGCACTTACCATGGTTTGTAAGTATGTGTCTATTTGTTTTCTAGCATTTTCTCCAACAAGACCACGTTTCTGAGAGTGGAGGCCAAATCCGTATTTTCATAGCCAGCACGTAGCACAGGCCCTCGTCCAGACTGTATGTTCAGATATTTGTTCGGTGAAGGAATATGTGTTATTTTTTCTACTCTCCAACTCTTGAGAAGTATTTTTTCTCTTACAGAAATTTGATGCTTATGAGATCTAAACTCAGACTAAAAATATTCTTTTGTGTTTAGATCAAAATGCCAAAACACTTTTGATCAAGAACCTACCTGACAAAGTCACTCAGCATGAACTAAAAGAAGTGTTTGAGGATGCTTTTCAAATCAGCCTGGTGAGCAAGGATGGGATGAGTAAAAGGTATGTTTTGTACCTTGAACTAGAAAAGAATATGTGTCTACTGGATTCAAACAAACAGAATTTCATTGTATTCTCCCAAATCACTTATGCCTGATTTTAGAGAAGGAAAGAGTAGTTATCCAACCTTTCTACTAGCAGGCATGAAAAGCTGAAGGAAGCATCATAAATGGATGGCCAAACACTTCTTGAAAAACTGTAGTGATATCGTAGAGAAATGAAGACTCATTCTACCAAGTACAGATTGAAGATCTGAAAAAATCAGTCACAGATTATCTTCATTCCTCTCTCTCCAGGGCTGACTCCAGTAAAATAACACATTTGGTGACTTGTCTGGACAGGTACCAAAACAGAACATTGAACTGGCCTATCAGAATTGTGTTGTAAGCAGCTAATGAAAATCATCACTGTGCATGTTTGCTTTGGTACAGTAAGAGGGTGAATATGGTGAAAATACGTCAGAATAGAATGTATTTTGAAGGGATTCTCAGTGAGGTGAAAATTGAATGTTGGAATTACAGATATGTTAGAACTAAAATTGTTGGTGTAGGTGAACTCTAAAACAATCTATGCCAATATATTCTGGGGAACATAATCTCTAGAAAAGAATCCTGCAGATTTAGAAAACAAGTGTGAACGGATAAACCCCAAATCGTCAGCAGTGTTCACGGGCTTGAAGTCAGCGATTCTGAAGGACAAAACAAATATAATTATAAAGCCAAAAGCTACATAATTTTCCTAAATAATTAAGATTTAATTAGCTATACTTAAATCGTTAAAGTCATTCTTTTACATGAAGAATAATTACAAAGGAGAGATAAGAGAAGCCCAGGAACCCATGGCCATGTGAAATAAAGCATAATACCTAAATCAGAAATGAGTGTGGTGTGTTATCTTTAAGCATATTCTTACTTAACAGATCCATGTCCCCATCTGTCACCAAAATAAATCACAAGTTCATGAAAGATTATATTGAAAATATGAAATCGTAAAATACTACAAGGAGGCATGTAAAGTTTTTTAAAATTTGTTTTTCCTAATCTGCAAGAGGGGGAGGACTTTCTAAGTGTGACGCAAACCCCGTTATCGTAGTAAGGAACGGGGTGGGGGGCGGGGCGTGAAGGAGCTGCATGCTCGTCCTTTGTTGGTTGAAGTGAAATCGAAGTCGGTACAGCCACTTAGCAGTGTCTGTCAGTTACGGTTGCGTACACCATGTTATCTTTCAGTTCCGCTGCTAAGAAATGTCCCAAATAGGCAAATCTGTGGAAACAGAAAGTAGCGTGTAGTGGTTGCCTGCAGCTGGGACGGGGGGAGGGTGTGAGTTAGAATGAGGAGTGATGGCTGATGGGTGAAAATGTTCTAAAGTTAGATTATGGGCGTACAATTCTGTAAATATACTAGAAACCACTGTACACTTTAAATGGGTGAATTTTATGGTATGTGAACTACGTGTGAATATTGTTTTTTAAAAAATAGTGTGTATATTTGCCTTTAAACATATAGCGTATTGCCCCTAAGGAATTGGGCAGAAGGAAGGCTTCACTGTATCATATACTTTTTGCATTTTGAATCATACATATGTATTACTGATTCAAAAGACAAATAAATAAAGGTGCTAAGTGTTGACTGTTCTTTCTTCTCCCCCGCACTCCACCCCCGCAATTGCAGGATTGCCTATGTTGACTTCAAGTCACAAGCCAATGCAGAGAGAGCCCGAGAAGAGAAGCAAGGAACAGAGGTTGGAGGACTTGCCATAGTTCTGGACTCTGTTGCAGAGAAAAGCCAAGGCCAAGAAGACAGAGACGGACAGAGCAGAACCCAGAGAGGTAAAAGGCACTAAAGCTCTGTGGATCGAGACGTGCGGGGTGCCAGCTGGGTTACCCCGGGGTTGGGAGAGGGGCTTGCACGGCCCTAGGGGTGCTCAACATTTTTAAATGCAGTATTCTTCTTGTATCAAAAATATCTAAGCCATTCTCATAATTATATCAAGCTACTGAGCATTGGCCTAGTTAATTGTAAGATAATTGTAATGTCTGTAAAGGAAACGGCATTTTGAGATACGTCAGTTAAGTCCCCCTTTTGGGGGTACACTCTTGGCTTCCGTTTGAACAACTTCTTAAACCTGTGCTTTCAGAATTCGGTATTTAATTCTCTTTAGACATTTAATTCTTTTTAAGTAGAGTTTTTGTCAGGTTTAAAACAGAGGCCCCCAAACCAGTGTCCTTAAAGTGTCTAATCTGATGGGGAGACGTGCCCTATACAGAATTTATGGGGGGGAAAAAAAAACAATAGAATTTATTATGAATGTTTCTAAAAATCAAGACATTTCATGTAAAAATCTGGATTTCAAGTTGCTTTTGCTGCATCAAGGAATCTAGCGGCCCTGGGTGCAGCCCACCTGTCTGCAGCCGGCTGGAGGGAAGCAGCTGCTTCCTCTTGGCTGTGGCATTTGCTCTGTTTGCCGCAGCCTCCACCATTCTCGAAGTTCTCCTCAACTCTGAAGGAGTGAACATCACTTTATACTGTGAAAAAACAAACTTTTTAAATACAAAGTAGTACTTTTTCCTATTAGTAAAGATGATGTTTTAATATTTCTTATTTATTTGTCTCTTTCAAAAGTGGAAAAACGAAAGATAGAACCAGAAGGCCACACGTTTCAAGAAAAGTGGGAGAGAACTTATTTCTTTGTGGAGGTAAAGAATGTTCCCACATGTTTAATATGCAAAGTCTGTCTGCGTCGAAAGAATATAACCTAAGATGCCATTATGAAACAAACCATAGGAGGAATCATGATGGATATACAGAAAAGAAACGAGCTAAAAAACTTAATGAACTGAAAAAAAGACTGAAATTTCAACACGATTTGCTTCTGAATGCGAATAAAATAAATGATGCTGCTATGAAATGTAGTTATGTATTAAGTGAGAAAATTGCCCGGGCATCAAAACCGTTTACAGATGGTGAGTTTATAAAGGAATGTCTGTTGAGTGCTGTGGAAATTATGTGCCCTGAGCAGAGACAGGCATTTGCCAGGATAAGACTAACTGGTAATGTTCCACAGCATGTTGACGTGATGACCGAGAGCTTCCAGGACGAGTTACAGGAGAAAGCTAAATCATTTGTGCCTTTCTACCTTGCAGCCCATGAAAGCACTTATGTAAAAAACGCCCCTCAGTTAGCTGTATTTATTCGTGGTGTTGATGAAACTTTTGACGTGACCAAGGAACTTTTGGACATGGTACCCCCTTACAGGGACGACATCAGGAAATGAATTATTTTTATGTGTTGAGAAAAGTCTTAAAAAATTTAGTGTAGACTGGTCAAAATTAGTGTTAGCACAGACGGTAATTCCGCAATGGTTGGTGTTAGACAACTTGTTACAAAGCTTAAATCTAAAGTGTCAGGGCTTTGCAAAAACGCAGAACTTAAATCTGTACATGGCCTCATTCTCCAGGAATCCCTTTGTGCTAAAAATTTAAAAATGGACCATGTCATGGACATTGTCATTTACACCATAACCTGGATACGTTCCCATGGCTCAAACCATAGGAAATTCAGTGCTTTGCTCAGTGAGCTAGATGCACAATATGGAAGCCTGTTCTGCTCCATGGAACTTAAGTGGCTGAGTCGCGCGGTATGGTGCTAAGGCAGTTTTTTGAAGTATTGGAAGAAATTGACTTTTTCATGTCTGTTAAAGGAAAATCTGTGCCTCAGCTTACTAGCAAAGATTGGATCAAAGACCTAGCCTTTTTGGTTGACATTATGACTTACGTAAATACATTGGCTATTTCTCTGCGAGGGTGTTCACAAGTGGTTACACAAATGCATGATTCAGTTCACTCTTCTCTTTCCTAATGAAATTGTGTCTTTGGGAAACTCATTTGGCAAGGAACAATCTGGCCCACTTCCCTATGCTGAAATTAGTTTCCGAAAATGAAAATGATGGCCTGAACTACATTCCAAAAATTAAAGAGTTGAAGGCTGAATTCCAAAAATGGGTATCTGATTTCAAACTTTATGAAAATGAACTAATATTGTTCAGTTCACCTTTCTCAATTAATATTAATAATGTGAATGAAGAGCTACAAATGGAAGTTATTGAATTGCAGTGCAACACTATACTGAAAACTAAATATGATGATGTTGGAATCCCAGAATTCTACAAATGTCTAGGGAATGGTTACCTTAACTATAAAAACCATTGTGCAAAGATTCTGTCCATGTTCGGAAGCACCTATGTTTGTGAGCAGCTATTTTCTGTTATGAAACTAAACAGAACTAAATATTGCTCCCAGTTAAAGGAGTCAGAGATGAATTCTCTCTTGCACACTGCTACGTGAGATTCATCTGGCGTCGATTGACACCGTGGGGCATCAGAAAGGAATGTCAGATTTTGGATTTCAAATCTGAGGCGTAATAAATTATGAAACTTTGAATAATTATTTCTATTTCCAAATTATATATTTTTAATGTCAAGTTTAAAGTACAATCTCTGGCATCATATGTCTGTACCTTATATAAAATAAAGTTTGATTATATGCTGGCAGTTTATTTTTCCTATACTTTGCCTTTCTGGTCCTTAGACTTATACAAGTTTATAAACCTCTGCCTTAAAAGCAGTCACGTTTTTCCTAAGGGCACTTAGGAAAAGTGAGCCAGGGGTGTGCACCGGGGGGTCAGCTGGATGAGTGGAATGTTTAGATGCCCAGTACAATCCTATCTCCAAGGATGACAGGCCTGCGACAGTGACTGCGGGGCTCAGGTAAGAGTAACACCCTTCCTTGGAGACAATTGGGGCAGCACAGCCAATACTGGCCTCTGAGCATCTTTTTTGGTGCTTCCATTTGGGATTTACACATTTCTATTGAAATTTCAATATTGTTGGTCAGCTTACAGTCAGTTGTGGCTCGCCCAGGAGTTATTCTGTCTCTTACAGGCAGGGATGGATATTCCCTTGCGTCTGGGCCACCCCAAAGGGATACAGAATGGGGTGTTGATGTGTGTGAGAGCTCGGGAGCATTTTTCCAGGGAGAAGGCCCATAATTGCCATCAGAGTCGTAAAGAGGTCCGTGACCCAAAAGGTGTTTTTCCACTGTGAAATTGGGATATGACTGCTCACTGTTGCAGAACCTGTATCTTAAAAAAATCAGTCTATAAAAGTACTGTATACTTACTGTAGAACATTTGGAGACTATAAAGAAATAGAGAGAAAGCACTATAATCTCAATTACCAGAGGAAACCCATGTAACATTTAGGCATGTTTTCTTTCAGTCGATTTTCTATGGTTGAGCCTTATTTTATATGGTTGAGTGTATTATGTGTGGACCATTTTGAATTCTGCTCCCCTTCCCCTCATTCCCCGACTTAACAGTAAATCCTAAACACCTGTCAGTCTTCCAAGCTCAAGGTTGAGTTTATTTGGTTCTTTCAGGTGCACACTGATGAGCTTTTGCCAGCCAGAGTGAGTTCTCTTGGCATCACTTAAGCCATAGGGTTGAGTTCCAGGTGTGAGATCTCTCTTCTGTTCTGCTAGGCTCAGTTGGGCCAGAGAAAAAGCCTGCTGTACAGGGAAGGAGAGCAGATCGTATCTGATGACAGCTTCCCAGCAGAGGAAAGAGGGAGATGCGGGCAGGAGGGCTTAAGGACAGGGTCCGATTCTAAATTCAGAGCTCCAGTCTTGGCTGGGCCATCAGTGCTTCTTGAAAGGATTCTATTTCCCTTGTCCCCGTGTCCATGTGATCCCCTATTCTCCCCTACAAGTCAAATAAAATCTACCACTCATTCTCATTCGGTAACTTTACCTCCTACCTAAAAGCCACTTGAGAAGGATCCTCCCGCTCTCCCTTCCTGTTTGCATTTACACACTTGCCTGGACGTGCACAGCTCCAGCTTCCTCTCTCCCTGTCCTAAGGTGCCTTCTTCCTGCCCATGGCAGGTCCGTCCCGTTGTGTTCCAGCCTCCATCCCGCCTCTTCAGGGCTTTAGTCCACCCTTCGTCCATACTTTTGAGATTTTTGTTTGTACTGGCTCCTTCCACCAATATTTAAATGTGCCCACATCTCTGGCGTACTCCTTTTAATTTTCTAATTGAAATAAAAATTTTAAATTAGAAACACTCGCATGCTTCAAAATTCAATTGGTTCAAATCACAAAGTCTCACCCATCTGCTAGCTACCCAGCTCCTCTGTATGGAAGCAATTATTGTTTTTTGGTGTGTGTGTCCTTCCACTGTTGGGCATGAATAAGGAATTATGTTTACATTATTTTTCCCACCTATTTTTTACACAAAAAATTAAGTTTATACATGTTCTCCTGTACCTTGCTGTTTTTCCTTTAAAGTACCTTGGAGACCATTCCATGTCAAGAACAAAGAGCCACTTTGTTAGTTTTTGACAGGGTTATATGGCTGTACCCTAAGGATTTATTTAACCAGTGTCTTAGCTCTAGCTCCTGTGAAAGATGGACTCCAAATTCTTTGTAGCTCAACAGAATAAAAGTTTCTTTTTCACTCATGCCAGAGTTCAGAGTGGTATCACAGGCCAGATAGCCTTCCACATGATCCTTTAGGGACCCGGGCTCCCTCCATTCTGTGCCTCTGCCGTGTTCTGGGTCATTGGCCAACTCTTCATTCAGTGAGTGGATAGGAAAGAACGAGGAGGATCCGATGTGGGGGACTTAGCATGGGCCGGGCCTAGGTGTGTGTTCACCCCTGCCCTTGGCGAGAACTTGGTCAAATGACCCCTCCTGCCGTACCAAGGGAGTTTGGGAAATGCACCGCAGCCCTGCATCGGGAAGAAGGAATGGGCTGGACGAGCAACTAGCCAGTCTCTAACTGCTGCCAATCTCCTGTTGGTGCCTCCATCTTTTTTAAAGAATCCAAAAGCCTTTCCTTCAACCCACGTCGGCCTCTAGGTCCTGCTCCCCCTTCCATTTACAGCCTAATTCTAGTCTCTCCACCTATAATCTCTTCACCTTCAAAACATTCTCCACCTATCCGAGTCAGAGTGACCAAAAAATAAAACAAACCCAACTTAGGTCAACATTACTCCCCTGCTCAACATTCTCCAATGATTCCCTACATCATTTATCATAAAACCAAAACTCCTCTAACTCAGCAACAAAAACCCAAACCACTAAATTAATAATTGGGCAAAGGACTTCGTTTCCCCCAATGAAGATGTACAAATTGCTGATAAGCAGCACATGAAGAGATGTTCAATACCAATGGTCATTAGGGGGAAATGCAAGTCTAAACCACAGTGAGACACCACCTCCCCCTCCCTGGAATAGCTACTAAAACAACAACAAACAGAAAATAACAAGAGCTGGAGAGGACGGAGAGAAATCGGAACCCTCGCGCGCTGTTGTGGGAATGTAAAATAGTACAGCTGCCGTGGAAAACACTATGCCACTTCTTCGAGGCATTGGCCACCAAGATCCTGGTGCTGGGTTAGTTCGCTGATACTGGGCTTTGTGATGTTTAGGTCCTCTTAGTGGACAGAGTTAGGAAACGTGTGTATGCACATGCATATCTAGAGCTATGTCTATATCTGTATTTTGAAAACCATGAGTTCACACTGATGCCTCCAGTTCCAACCCCACACCACAGTGTTTATTCTAGCCTATTCTCTTTCCTTATTTCTAATTCATTTTTCCGACAGTGACAAATCAGGCTCTCATTAGTCACAATATATTTACTTATTTGCTTAGTGCTAATCCACGTAAGTAGTTTCCGAATTTCTAACACACCTTTGTGAAAAACAAACCTATTTAGAGTACAACAGCCTACATTTTTTTCCTTTAGTCTTAGAGTCAAAAGCTCCTGTCTGAAGTTACTTAGGTGAGTGTCCCGATGTTCTTGGTGTTGTTATGTTATTCATTTGTAATATTGTTGTTATGT